AACCCCCTGATTGGCCCTGCTCTGTGCATGACAGGGTACGGAGCCCCAAACCCCCTGATGAGCCCTGCTCTGTGCGTGACAGGGTGGCGCCGCAACCTCCCATCGACCCTGCCTTGAGTGTAATAGGTGGTGGTGCCCCAACCCCCCAATCGGCCCTACCCTGAGCGTGACTGAGGGTGGCATCGCAACCCCCTGATCCACCCTTCCCTGTGTGTGACTGGGGGCGGTGCCCTAACTCCTCTATCAGTCCTACTCTGTGAGTGACAGCGGGGAGCTCCTCAAACCCCTGATGGGCCCTGCTCTGTGCATGACAGGGGGAGCTCCCCAATCCCCTGATCGACTCTGCTCTGTGCGTGACATGTACGGAGCCCCAACCCCCCTGATGGGTCTTGCTCTGTGAGTGACAGGGGGCAGCGCCCAACACTCTGATTGGCCCTGTTCTGTGTGTGACAGGGGGTGGCACCACAACCTCCCATAGACCATACCTTGAGTGTGACAGGGGATGGTGCCCCAACCCCCTAATGGACCCTATTCTGAGCACTACTGAGGGTGGCATCGCAACCTCCCAATCCGCCCTGCTCTGTGCATGATGGGGGGTGGCGCCCCAACTCCCCAATCAGCCCTGCTCTGGACCCGACCAGGGGCTGCACCTAGGGATTGGGCCTGCCCTCTGCTATGCAAGAGCAGGCCTAAGACAGCAGGTCGTTATCTCCCGAGAGGTCCCAGACTGTGCGAGGGTCGAGGCAGGGCTGAGGGACCCCCCCTCCATCCCGAGGGCACAAATTTTTGTACAACCGGGCCTCTAGTCCTATCTAATAAAAGCCTAATATGCAATCGACCAATTGCGGAATTACTGGTGGAATCACTGGTTGGTATACTGCACACTGATCACCAGGGGGCAGACACTCAATGCAGGAGCTGTCCCCAGCCTGCTGGCCCCAGGCCAGCCAAGGTGGTGCAGTGGGGACGCCTGATCACTCTGCTGATCACCTCGCAGAGGGAGGTGATCAGCGAAGGCAGCAGGAGGCAGGGCCAGCCGGCAGGTGGGCCAGTGCCACCCCCTAATCACTCCGCTGGTCTCCTCCAAGGCAGGTGCCAGCAGGGGTCCCCTGACTGCCCCACCGGTTGCCTCACAGATTGGCCCTGATCTCTGGCCAGGCCTAGGGACTCTACCCATGCACGAATTTCATTCACCAGGCCTCTAGTTACTTTATAAAAAAAACTATGAAAGGGTGAAAAAACCCTGTCAAATGATGACATATATTATTAATCACACCATGTGCATGTAAACATGAACAAAGTATAAACTACATGTAAAAATGAACAAACAAAATAAATAAGAAACTCTCCTTTTCTGTATGGCATAGCTTTCCTCCCTTGATTATCTTTGATTTAACTGCTTTTCCTATTTGTTTTCCTTATTCTCTCTAGCTTGTGATTGGCACAATGGAAGAATCTAGAATTTGCAGACCAGGTGTAAAAGCAGATATGTTGTGTAACTCTCAGTCAAATGATATTCTTCAACATCATGACTCAAATTGTGGTGGCACGGGTAACAAACATTCACTGGAAGAGGATGAAGGCAGTGACTTTATAACAAAAAACAGGAATTTGGTGAGCCGAGCATACTGCATGCAAGAGTCAAGAGAGAAACCTCCTGGGCCTAAATCTGGAACAGAGTCTTCTGATAGTCAGCAGGGTTCAGAGTGCAACAGGAATAAAGAAAGACCTTTAGGTAATACTCTCTGCTTAATGGTTGAACATTTTTATACACAGCTCATTTGCTTATGTTTTCTACTTAGCTACTACATCTGTTTTCTTTGGCCAGGTCAGTGTGCCTGTCTGCTACAATTCCATGCAGGAGGTGAACAAAGCAGAGTAGTAATCATAGTTATAGGAACCATGGTTATTTTTCTCTGAATAATCAAAAATTATTTTTTCTGAAAATATTCGTGACCAGTTTTGCAGAATTAGTATTTGATTTGCCTTGTTATTTGATCTTTTAAAGTAATGTAACCAGTAATTACTGTTAAAACTATATGTTTCATTTATTTAAAGGATATTCACTAAAATTTAAAAATGATATGTTATCTGTTGTTTAGAAAGTGGACTAATAAGAGTGGATTTTAAGGTATGTTTTCCTCCCTACTGCTGTATTAGTTTGACAGTTAGTAATTAGAATGTGGTATGTTAAATGTCATGGAAAAAATCTGAAATCTTTATTTTGCCATACTGTTTGCTCCTCAGTATTGTATTCCAATTATATGTAATAGTTATCTTGTCAATTTTACTGACTTCTGTACATGATTATATCCAGGATTATCTTTCTTTAATCTATCCTTAAGCATATAAGAAGTATTTATAGCCTCTTGCAAACAAAACCAATATCTTCAAAAATAAGAGCCCTAATAGTTTTTGTAAAATACAGTTTCACATTAAATTTTTTATTTTAAATAGAGTTTAAAACCTTCAGAAAAGTTCAGTTTACTTTTTACTTCTATTTGTTAGATATTTAGTAATTATATTCCTCTTTTTATTTGGACTTGAATTTAATAAGAAAAGGTTTTAGTGCTAAAATTTTATATGTATAGGAAATTACTCATTTTGAAGTCACTCTGTTCTTCCCTTCCATATCCATAGAAGTCTATAAAGTATACCACATATCAAAGTTATCTTCAGATTAATAAAAAGAAAAACATTTTACATACAAGAGTGAATATTTTAGCAAATAAATAGGTCCTACCCCCAGATCATGAAATAAAAATTTTATTGTTTAGTTTCTCACAGTATTTCAACCCTCCATTTTTTCCCCAACCAAAGTTTTTAAAGTACTATTTTAAAACTCTTTCCTCAAGGGATGAGCTAATTTATCTTCCTTTTTTTTTTGGCACCATACTTGGTTAATACCAAGATATGCTTAGTAAATCATCAGAAAACACAACTCAGGAAAAATGTTGTGTAATAATGGATTATGTGCATTTTAGATACAGGCAGAGTGTACTTGCCTTTTGAACCTTCTTGTATATTTGTTCCTGATAGGAGGAAGTTCTTAAAAATATTCATATCCTTTAGGAAAATATCTTAACTTGGAATCAGTGATTTGACTAGTGTTTTTAAACTTTCAATAAGTGTTACTACTGTTTAAGTGTCAGTTAGTTAATACCTACCAGAATTAGAGGGTAAGTGAAGAAATTTGGGTATGGGGCTACTAAATCACAATTTGAAAGTAGTTTCTATAATTTAGGAGGTGAATCTCTATACCTAATTATATAGCCTAAAGTTATATTCTGGGTGTCTGAACATAAGTTTTATTTGGAATTTACAGATTGTTTTAATATTATCTTCTGGCACTTTTCTTCTTTTATTTTATTATTAGGAAAAGAAGTATTATTATTGATGCAAGCCTTAAATACTCTCTCAACTCCAGAGGAGAAGCTGGCAGCTCTCTGTAAGAAATATGCTGATCTTGTGAGTATAAGGGAGCAAGGCCCATGTAAAATATGTCAAAATGCACATCTGCTTGATAAACTTTTAGTGTATAATTTTGATATAGCTTTAAATGTAAATTATATTTTATTACAGAATTAAGGGGAGGATCTAACTTTTTAGAATTGAAGTTGGTTGTATGGCCTGGATTTATGATAGGATATGTTGAAACATTGTAATGCTTTTGAGATGTTAAATGATCTCCTAAAACTCAATAAGCCTCAAACATTTCTAGGTCAGCATTTTCATTTGTATGTTTACTTGTCTCTCTGTTGGGAGTGAATATGTTCTGTATTTAAATTCAGAAATTCTATAGATAACTGCATATTAGAGGTGCAAGCTTTAAACCATTTTGATTGATTATGAGTCCTATGAAATAGTTTAGCATGCCAGTTTTCAACGAGTGTGCTGCTGTAGGCACATTGGTGTACCTCAACAATTTTTTAGACATGAAATACCAGACTAATTTAGTCAGTGCACTGACCTTTGGTCCCCTAGACTGGAAAAAATGACAATCAACGTAAGAGCCTCTTGTGAACTTTTTACTCTTAAAAAGTGTGAATTAGACTTATACCTTTTTTTGTTTTTGTCAGATTATTTGGTGTGCTGCAGAATGTTAGTAACTAGTGTATGTGTGCCATTAGATGAAAAAGATTGAAAATCTCTGCTATACTGGAATAGCCAGATGATTAAAATCAAAAGAGCAGTTTTTATAAAAGATGTTTTTATAGAAGGGCAGTTTTTATGAAAGATGGAAATAAAAAAAGAGGAAGAAAAAAAAGATAAATAAAGGAGTGAAAATTAGGTAGGAAAAGTAGTAGAATATGTAAAGTAGTGGACTTGGTGATATGACAGATGCAGCCAGCCATGAAAGGATTGGGGGGGGGGGGGGGGGGGAATAGTTAGCAAAGTGGCCCATGACAGTCCTTTTCAAATTTATGCAGGTCACTTGGGTATCTTGTTAAATTGCATATTCTGATTCAATATGTGTAAATGATATAGGTGGATTGGAGGAGATTGCTAAGA